ATGAGAGCGACGTTCTGCAAAGGACCTGCTACATGATGATAATGATATAAATACCACCATGCTTCTGTCCACATGACATCATCCTGTGTTAAAATTCACCTATCATCCTGTGTCAAAGTTCAGACACCAAATTTTGTGCGATTGTTCGCCCTGTGTTTCACATTATTCTGATAAGTTTTTTCACAGTGATAACCCACAAACTATTTGAGTTATTTGTAAAGGTGAGTTCTTACGTTTGTCAAAACAGTGCTTATTGAACTGTAAACGTTTCGCCGCTGACAATGTCTAGATTCAGTTATAAGAATACGAAGATTCTTTGAACTCTTTTTTTTTCTTCCCAGCATTTTCACATGGGGGGGGGGGGGGGGGGGGGGGGGGGATTCTAATTTTTCTGGGCTGCGGTGAAATATTTTGACAGTTTTAGCAAGTGCAAATTACAGTTGGAGAACCAACATGAAACGAGAGTTAAAAGCATTTGAAAAAAAATGTCTAAGGGAAAAAAAATGTAAATAAAATAGAATAAATCCAAAAGAAGTTAAGGAATAAGGGAAGTGTCTGGGAAACCACTGATATCAACAGTTACAAGACAGAGAAGATGACGCTACATTGGACACATTCTGACAAAAATCAGCAAAGAATCACCAAACAGGAATTAAAATAGGGAATAAATTGATAAAGGAGGTCAGAACGCCCAAAAAGAAACCATGAAAAGAACGGCGATGATAGAGGTCAAAGCTGCTGGACTGAATTCCGTCCATGTTATTGGAATGACTGCACATGATAGAGCTGAATGGAGGATTAGACTGGCAACCCTATGTCATTTTTGATAGCACAACAGGAATAATGAATGAAGGAAGTATAGGGTTTTGAATGAAACCAGACACTCTTACCTTAGAGACAGAATGCAATAATTGAAGCCTGTGCACCGGACAACTGAGATATTTTGAAGAATATCTCTAAACAATTTTTTTTTCACAAACAGGACCTTACTCAGTTTCACGTTTTATGTCACGAGACAGAATTGCGTTCCTTTTGCGATCAAGCGATTGCAGGTAACCTTGAAGCCTCACTAAGCATCGTTAAGACTGCCTGCAAAATGTTGCATCAGCCCCTACCCGATTTCATCATCACATAGACAGAACTGCATTGTTAAACTAGCATGAAAGCAGTCGGATGTCCTGGTTGCTTGAAGCCGACACGTTTGAGTTCCAGATGTAGAGAACACTAGAACCATAGACTGTGGTGCAATTTCCAAGGAAATCAGATAGCGGAGAATGAATGTAACTCGGTCGACGAAGTTAGTTTACATCTTGTTTGTTGTATGCAGGCTTTAAGTGCGCGACCTTAGTTTATCAAGTGCGTCTCTCTCTCTACCTCTATCTAACTGTTTCTTGCGCGCGCTCTCTCTCACCTCTCTCTCTCTCTCTCTCTCTCTCTCTCTCTCTCTCTCTCTCTCTCTCTCACTCTCTCTCTCTCTCTCGCTCTCTCGCCCAGAGGACTACAATATTTGCCCAATGAGTCAACACAAAATCGAAATTACATCAGCGATGCATTCCATCACAAAACTTGTGTGTGTAAATCGTGCAAGAGATCACACAAAGAAGAAGAACACAAACATACAAAGCAATTTGTGGGACAGTCTAAAGCAGCTGTTATAGACCTATGTGTCGCGACCTTTTTTGGGTCGAATGACCCTTTCACAGAGCTCGCCAAAGACCATCGCTAAACAAATATTTATTAAAGTAATGAAATAGCTATAAAAATAACTGTATGGTTGAGGTTGCCACAATATGAGGAACTGTGTTAAGAGAGCGCTGCAACACGAAGAACTGTATAAAGGGTCGCAGCATTAGGCATGTTGAGAACCACTAGTCTATAGGATATGGTTTGCAAAGTCAACAGTTCAAGTCTTTCTTCACACAAAAAATTAAAAATGATTATCAGTGAATTGCTTTGTGTGAGAGAAAGCAGCGAGGAAGTCAGCTAATTCTTATCTTACACCAGTTCCTTTACGTACAGTGTGTCAAGGGCTAGCATAACACAGCCTAGATAAAATATTCGCTATGGGACTATTGAGTGTATCTGCCCGAGCGGCGTGAAACAAGCAGCTGCACACAGAAAACCGGTAAAAGGCATGTACACTCAAAACTCAGGCCATGGCACAAAGCCACAGTCCAAACTGACGAACAGCCTAGTACAAATGGACAAACAGCGAAGTACAAATAGACGAACAGCCAAGTACAAACTGACGAACAGCCAAGTACAAACTGACGAACAGCTAAGTACAAATGGACGAACAGCCAAGTACAAATAGACGAACAGCCAAGTACAAATTGACGAACAGCTAAGTACAAATGGACAAACAGCGAAGTACAAATAGACGAACAGCCAAGTACAAACTGACGAACAGCTAAGTACAAATGGACAAACAGCCAAGTACAAATAGACGAACAGCCAAGTACAAACTGACGAACAGCCAAGTACAAATGGACAAACAGCCAAGTACAAATAGACGAACAGCCAAGTACAAACTGACGAACAGCTAAGTAAACATTAACGAACAGCCAAGTACAAATGGACGAGCAGCGAAGTACAAACTGACGAACAGCCAAGTACAAATTGACGAACAGCCAAGTACAAATGGACGAACAGCCAAGTACAAATGGACGAACAGCCAAGTACAAATGGACGAACAACAAAGACTGTCCGCCTGAGTCTGCAGCCGGTAAACACACCAAAAAAACTGGGTGCCATCAACACAATTGTTGAAGTTATTTTAGAGACTCATTTTCAAACAGTTACCGTAACGGAATATACTCATAGAGACTCACCCCTCTTGTACGTTATTATTATATCAGCACCAAAAGATTACATGGCATTTTGCTGCTCAAAACAAAATTCAGCTTGGCTCATTACTAGAGAAGTAAGGTCGGAGGTAAGGCTAGGACGGTATGTTAAAAGCGAAGTGCGCAACAATCTGGCAATCCCCGGAAGTCCATCCCCAGGTCCAATGTATCAACATAAGAATCGTAAACAGATATCTGACGAAGCACTCTAGGACAATCCTAGTAGCTAAGCTTTTCTTTAAACAAGCATCAAGTATTTGCTTCTCTACTACTATCATCGCTTCTACTCCTGCTACTACAACTACCATCGCTTCTACTCCTGCTGCTACTGCTACTACTATCGCTTCTACTCCTGCTGTTACTACTACCATCGCTTCTACTCCTGCTGCTACTACTACTACCATCGCTTCTACTCCTGCTGCTACTACTACCATCGCTTCTACTCCTACTGCTACTACTACTACCATCGCATCTACTCCAGCTGCTACTACTACCATCGCTTCTACTCCAGCTGCTACTACTACCATCGCTTCTACTCCTGCTGCTACTACTACCATCGCTTCTACTCCTGCTGCTACTACTACTACCATCGCTTCTACTCCTGCTGCTACTACTACTACCATCGCTTCTACTCCTGCTGCTACTACTACCATCGCTTCTACCACTCTACCATTGCTTCTACTCCTGCTGCTACTACTACCATTGCTTCTACTCCTGCTGCTACTACTACTACCATTGCTTCTACTCCTGCTGCTACTACTACCATTGCTTCTACTCCTACTGCTGCTACTACTACCATTGCTTCTACTCCTACTGCTACTACTACTACCATTGCTTCTACTACTACTACCATTGCTTCTACTCCTGCTGCTACTACTACCATCGCTACTGCTCTTGCTGTTACTACTACCTGCTAATACTGCATCGCTTCTAGCTAATATCAAATCGCTTCTACTCCTGCTGCTACTTTTTTAACAAACAGCACCCTATGTTATGATTAGATCACTGGTCGCTTTTAATTCCCATAACAGTTTCTAGTAACCATTTTAAGACTGGGTCAGCAAGAAAACCTCAGTCTGTTTTTACACAGTCAACTTCATTACGACTTGAACAGTTGACAATCAAGCACAGTAACGTGCCATAACCTTACCCTGGCTTTAAATCATCTAGGTTCATCTGGGTCAAGATTTGACATCACAGCATTAGAGTGTGCCCATATTAGCTCCATCTCCCTCCTCTACAGATAGCAGAGAGTTTCTGTACTCAAGGTACCCGTTGCCCTCGGGTTACCAGTTTGAGCTGCTTTTACCCCTAATCCCCAGTGGTGCTCACAGCCCGCAGACACTTTCTCTTAACCATTCTCTCGTGGTTAAAAAAAAAAAGTTTCTGCGTATCCTTTACAGGACGTTGCAGAACCAACTCCAGTCTTTTTTGGCTGTTGTGGTTTTTCTAGGCAAATTTTAGTTCAGTAATTTGCCATTGACCACTGAACGGCCAGCTCTCGGTACCACTGACGAAATCAGCGCAAGTCATATCATCCGCAGCTGGGATCGAATCCGGTACCTTCTTGGCATTACGAAGCGCGTTTGCAATGCCTAAGCCACAGACGTTTACCCTCCCTTCTTGTATAGGTTTTTTATGTCTCCCATCTTACCTGTTACCTTCTGCCATAGGCCAGACATAAAACATTTGCCTTGTGTACTTGCAGTATACGCCCTGGGGAGGCCAGTCCAGCCACCTATCTGCCTGCTCATTTCACATAAACACACGCAAACCGCCTACATACCCAGGAAACATGTCTTTATCATTCTCCCCACATGCCACTTCTGGAGTAATGCGACCCATTCCAAACGAGGGAAACCCTGACTTCATCTTTCTGAGCATGATTTGCGAATTTGCTACTATGACAATGTGTGTGGCTAGGATCTTTTCCAACCCTCGGAACGCCGCAGTTACCGCCTTAATCTCCATTCTCAGGCTGGATGTGGTACTGTAGTATGCCAAGCTCTTCTCAGTTATCCTTCTGCCCCATGCTTTTTCAGTGAATCTCCATACACTTTTTCTGTCCCTGGTTACTGATACAAGTATTAAGACTGTGTAAACCAAGAAACCCAGTTAGTTTTGTATGGGGTGGGGCGCCGTGGTGGAGCGGTTAAACGCTCGCCTGCGGTTCCTAAGGTCGTGGGTTCAGGTCCCGAGAGAGCCGAACTTTGTTTCAGAAATGATCTTGGCCCCACAGATACCCAGGCTTAAATAGGTATCAGATAGAGTCACAGGAAGTAAAAGAGGCCGGCGTGATATTGGCCACAATACCAACTAAGTGCTGACTGGTCTGTAAAATCTTCTACGCTCAATACGCCTTAAGGCGTGGAAAAGGGTCCATTACTTTTCGTTATGTTTACGATGGTCTCCCCATTTGCACACCACCATTTGTAGGTCAACTCCATTGATATGTTGGCTGGACTAGTCTACCGTGGTCGAGGTTATGTGTGTCGCAGTCTGTTGTTGTCTGGTATTTACGTTTTTATTTCCGAGAAAGAGACGACCTGTGACATAGGTTTTGTCACTCTCTAGGGGGTGTTGTGTGTTAGACCCAGTATCTAAATGTTTTAGATGTGTTGAAAGATCTGGCATTGTGAAAATATACAACACGCGGTATGAGCGTGAGTGCGGAATATCCCCGTGACCTTGTGTGAAAGTCGCATCGCTTGAGGCCGACCTATCAGAAGTGAGGCGGTCAGTAGGTCGTCCAATCAGAAGCAAGCTAGTGTGTAGCGGTGTGCACATGGGGAGACCAGCGTAAAAAAAAAAACTTTACTTTTTTTTTTCAAATTGGGATTTGAACACATGGCCACACAGCACGATAATTAGCAAAAAGCCCTACCGTGGCTGTCGATCACACAATGTACTATTCATGTACCGAGACCTGTGTTTGTGTATTTTCAGGATATCGTTGCCTGGATTACCCTGGGAAACTACCACATACCCCAGATGGAGAACGTCCCTAACACAGCAACAGTGGGCACAACGCAGTCGTTCTTCTTGGTGCCATTCAACTATTTCAAGGAAGATCCATCGCTGGCTTCGCGTGACTCTGTGAAAATCATGCCTCGAGACCCGCAACGCCCATTTGAAGGCGCTGTTGTTGATAGACACAACATGACCCAGTTTTATAACTGTCACAGTCAGCTCATTGACAGAAGCCTGTTTAGCAACAGTACTTTTCTCTTTTCGTAACCAGCTTCGAAAAGAGGCAAGAGTCTAGCTATTTATTTGTTGTACATGTATATATGCAAATATATTAATGTTATTTTATAATTGCTACCGCCTGCCTACCTGCCTGAAGTGTAATGGTTCAAATCCGCACTGTAGTGAATTTAAAAATGTGAGCTTGACAACTAGGCAGACCAAGCCTAAAATAGGTAAAAGAATGACCTAGCAAGTAATGTCGATCGATGTTCTGTTCGACACATCGAATGCTAAGGAGTCTACAAAAAATGTAGGTCTTGCACTGTATGTTTGATTCGCCTAAGGCGTGAAAGGTGCCCTTTTGGTGTGGTTTCTGATTAAGAATAGATGAATTACGGAGAACCTTGATAAGACAAGAGAAGGGAAAGGTTTTTGGCGGGGGGGGGGGGGGGGGGGGGGATGGGGTGAATACTCTAATTGTCCCCGTTGGGAGTTGGTTAGATGTCTTTCTTCTTCTTCTTTTCTTCTTCTTCTTTTTCTTCTTCTTCTTCGTCTTTTTCTTCTTCTTCTTTTTCTTCTTCTTCTTCTTCTTCTTCTTCTTCTTCTTCTTCTTCTTCTTCTTCTTCTCTTCTTCTCTTCTTCTTCTTCTTCTTCTTCTTCTTCTTCTTCTTCTTCTTCTTCGTCTTTTTCTTAGTCTTCTGCTTCTTCTGCATATATTTCTCCCAATTCTTTCTAATTGGGCAAACCATTTGACGTCATCATGTATAATTGAGAAATTATTATGTGTCTACATTGTCTCATATGACGTCATTTCTGATTTAATCTACTCACCCGGCTGCTTTTCTCGGACATCTCAATTCCATGATGTCGTTAGATGTCCTTACTATACGTATATGGAATCATTCGGGCGATATAGGTTAGCAGCACTCAGGATATACCAGTGTGTTGGGAAACGAGCAGGTAGATAGACTGGCCGGTTCTGCAACTCTCGGTGGTGAACTAATGTATGACAAGTTAGATTTAATGAGGGTCCTCTGGGAGCGAATGAACAGTAAGAAAGCTCAAATAGATCAGTACGGTCTGAGGAGAATAGCGCTGCGAGGAGTTACCAGGGGATCTGGCCAACGCTCAACACTCAAGGGAAAGGCGAGACGGATGTACAATCAGAGAATTACTGGTGCCATCAAAATTGGAACTCTTCGTATGCTGCTGAAGATGTGGGATAGAGCGCTTGTGTGAGTGTCCCGAGTGCTATGATGTCGATTCTGAATTCAACATTCAACAACTACGTAAAATTAAGAAACTGGTTAACTATACCTGGAACTCTCACCCTCATGGAACTTGTTCTATACTCAGTCCGTAACCGCAGAATCAGTGATTAGCCGCAACACCGCTCTCGTGCTAAAACAAAAACGAGATCCCCGCTTTTGTGTATATTTGGCAATTTATTTTTACAGTCAAGTTAAAGTTATGTCAGTTTGCTGTTGCTGCTGTAGGATCATCCGTCCTTCTCCAAACAAACGTAACTATCCAACATCCATCTCCTAACAAATATAACTATCAAACATTTCTTCTCCAAAAGAACTTAACTCGCAAACATCCCTCTCCTAACAATTCTAAATATCAAACATCCTTCTCCGAACAAATCTAACTATCAAACATTATCTCCAAACAAGCTTAACTATCAAACATCCTCAAATATCCAAACAAGCTTAACTATCAAACATTCTCAAATTTGCTTTTCCGAGCAATCCTAACTACCTAACATCCTTCTCCTAACAAATCTAACTATCAAACATTTTTCTCCAATTACATACTTAAATATCAAACATCCTTTTCCGAGCAAACCAAACTACCCAACATCCTTCTCTTAATAAACTATCAAACATCCTTCTCCGAACAAACTTATCAACATTTCCTCTCCATACAAACCCAACTATCATACTTCTTTCTCCAAACAAATCTAACCATCAAACACCTTTCTCATTACACACCTAACTATCAAACGTTTTTCCCAAACAAACCAAACTATCAAACATCTTTCTCCAAACAAATATAACTATTAACAAACGCCTTTCTCTAGATACACCTAACTATAAAACTTCCTTCTCCAAACAAATCTAACTATCAAACATTCTTCTCCAAACAAACCTGAGTATCAAACATTTTTCTCCAAACAAACCTAACTATTAATCAATCCTTCCACAAACACACCTAAGTATCAAACGTCCTTCTCCAAACTAACCCACATAATAAACAATCCTTCTCCAAACAACCCTAACTATTAAACAATCCTTCTCCAAACAAACCTAACTATCAAACAATCCTTCAGAAAACAAATCTAATTATTAAAGATACATGTGGTAATCGTAACCAGTAATTTTACAACTAAGTCTTTGTTCCCTTTGATAACATGCATTGGAACCAGTAGAGAAAGACGATTATTATGGCCTGGAGAGAATGAGGCACCTGGGTCATGCCGACTCATTACACTCAGAGGAAAGGCAAGACGGACATAGAACCAGGTTGTGACCGATAGTGACGATACCATCAGTATTAGAACTCTGCGCTGGCTGCTGAAGATGAGGACAGAAAGTGCTGTGTTATTAATTCTTCACTTCACTGTGCTCAGTACAACTAGGTCTCAACAGGTTCTTTACTCATAACGTTCAGTTACGCATATTATCTCTAGTTTTATTATAAGTTTGTATAATATAAATGTATATAACGTAAGTGTATATAATATAGGTGTATATAATATAAGTGTGTATATAGCATATTTTGGATATGAATTCTGGCCCATGTATAACTAGAATATAAATGTTGTTTATAAATACATTATCTGCTTAATAAACTGAGTGTATCATTATAGTTATCGTCAAAGTCACGTATAAAATGTGTCGACGTGCCACCGGTTGCTGTTGTTTGTCTGATCAGTTCTCTCTGCATTTATCGGGTATATGCAATGGCTTGATATCTGCGTGCTTTTGACTGGTCTAACCAGCTGAATTCAGTATGCAGAACTTTCCTCTCCATGTATATTCCGGGGCTCCATTTCGGAAAACAAAGACTATACCTACTGCTCTTCCACCCTTCCAACACCCCTGCTCTCCCACCCTTCCTACACCACTGCTCTCCCACCCTTCCAACACCACTGCTCTCCCACCCTTCCTACACCACTGCTCTCCCACCCTTCCAACACCACTGCTCTCCCACCCTTCCAACACCCCTGCTCTCCCACCCTTTCCACACCCACTGCTCTTCCACCCTTCCAACACACTGCTCTCCCACCCTTCCAACACCCCTGCTCTCCCACCCCCTCAACACCCCTGCTCTCCCACCCTTCCAACATCCCCTCTCCCACCCTTCCTACACCACTGCTCTCAACCCACCCTTCCAAACCCCTGCTCTCCCACCCCCTCAACACCACTGCTCTCCACCCTTCCAACATCCACTGCTCTCCCACCCTTCCTACACACTGCTCTCCCAACCCTTCCTCAACCACTGCTCTCCACCCTTCCAACACCCTGCCCTCCCACCCTTCCAACATCCCTGCTCTCAACACCCTCCTACACCTGCTGCTCCCAACCCTCCAACACCACTGCTCTCCTAACCCTTCCTCAACACCCCTGCTCTTCCACCCTTCCAACACCCCTGCTCTCCCACCCTTCCACCACCACTGCTCTCCCACCCTTCCAACACCCCTGCTCTCCCACCCTTCCAACACCACTGCTCTCCCACCCTTCCAACACCCCTGCTCTCCCACCCTTCCAACACCACTGCTCTCCCACCCTTCCAACACCACTGCTCTCCCACCCTTCCAACACCACTGCTCTCCCACCCTTCCAACACCCCTGCTCTCCTACCCTTCCAACACCACTGCTCTCCCACCCTACCAACAAGCTTGTTGTAAGAGACGACTAATTAGGGGTGTCGCCATTAAAATCAGGGTACACCTGCCTGAGAGGCAAGGGACTAACTGTCTGCATACAAATAAGCCATTTCTGTAAAACGGATATGTACACAACACTCAGGTTTTGGGACAGGACTATAGTCCAGAAGTAGACGAACATCCAGAAATTTCTACCGGTCAACGATACGAAGAACAAGATATTTTCAGGCCAGTCTCTTCTTTTCAACTCTATCTTGTCCTGTTGTATTGTTTTGGATAGCCCGATAGATTTTGTTTAATGTCCGTAATAGTTGCTAATGTGCTTAGCGCTAATACTGCCAACTTCGTCATTTGTGATCTCTGTATGATATACAAAAGATCCAATTTCCAATAATTTCAGTTTGGCATGTCAAGGCTACACTTCACAGCCACTATATGTAAAGGTACTGATAACTATTGCTCTAATAGTTAAATACCTGTGAACGTATCACTGGAAAAAAAAAAAAAAAAAAAATACACAACAAGCAAAGAACTTAACATGGATAACTACAATCATTGATATCAAATAGCAGCAGATAAGAAACAATAAAACTTACATAAAGTATACTTCTGGGAAGTAAAGGCAGCCGGTGTGATTTTAAACATCACCCACCGAGTGCTAATTGGTCTTTGAAATATTGGTCTAACCCTCTATGCCCACTACGCTCGAAGGCATGGAAAGGATCATTTACTCGACTTTCTACTAGAACCTGCATTCATGCCTTGTGTCATTAAGGTAAAATTAATAATAATTAAGTTTAAAAAAATTGCCAGTACGCTAGTCGCCACACAAATCAAACTTCGGTGCTAAAGTCGGAGGCCCCCAGCAAGGAGGCGCACCACAGCAATCAGGTTGCCCCGCACACAGTCTGTAGGAAATATATCTATCTGGGCAAACCAGTACGATACTCATCAGAGAACATTCAGATATAGATAATCTATTTAAAGCAAACGAAAGAAGAAAAAGAAGAAGATTATTTTGAAGAAGATGAAGAAGAAGAAAAAAAAGAAGAAGGTAACATGCTAGTTACACTTATTCTTTCAAAATGTATTCCTGGCAATTAGTACCGGGTTACGTTCTTGGATATACAGGCAGATGACGAAATACTTAAACACA